TTCTAGGTTGAGGACACTTCGTATATGCATCCTACAGAGGATGCGACCTCCAGAGGATTCGACCTCCGGAGGGTGCAGCCTTCTCAATTAGACACAGCTAGTGCTGCCGGCACTGGGGAGCTACAGTTCATTGAGGGAACCATGAAATGCCAACATGTACTGTGACATACTGAAACAGAGCATGATCCCCTCCCTTCGGAGACTGGGCCGCGGAGCAGTTTTCCAACATGATAACGACCCCAAACACACCTCCAAGATGACCACTGCCTTGCTAAAGAAGCTGAGGGTAAAGGTGATGGATTGGCCAAGCATGTCTCCAGACCTAAACCCTATTGAGCATCTGTGGGGCATCCTCAAATGGAAGGTGGAGGAGCGCAAGGTCTCTAACATCCACCAGCTCTGTGATGTCTTCATGGAGGAGTGGAAGAGGACTCCAGTGGCAACCTGTGAAGCTCTGGTGAACTCCATGCCCAAGAGGGTTAAGGCAGTGCTGGAAAATAATGGTGGCCACACAAAATATTGACACTATTTTGACATATTGACATTTTCACTTAGGGGTGTACTCACTTTTGTGGCTAGCGGTTTAGACATTAATGGCTGTGTGTTGAGTTATTTTGAGGGGACAGCAAATTTACACTGTTATACAAGCTGTACACTCACTACTTTACATTGTAGCAAAGTGTCATTTCTTCAGTGTTGTCACATGAAAAGGTATAATAAAATATTTACAAAAATGTGAGGGGTGTACTTACTTCTGTGAGAGACTGTATATGTGGAATATTAACATTATTATAAGGTGAAAGAATAGATGTCTATAGGAACGCCCATAGGAACATGCTGAAAATACCAGATGATGTACAATGGATTTTCTTATTGCATAACAGAATAAGATCTATACTTTTACTGCATAACAGCATAAAATGTAGTTTTTGTTGGGAGTGCGTAATACTGCGTATCAAACTGCCAAAGTCACGTTATTTCAGAAAACGAAGCTTTAGGAATCGATATCGTTCCATAAAAATGAGAATCAATTAATATCGAGATATCAATATTTTTTACCCAGCCCTAGTAAAAAACCACAACCAAGACATGATGGTGTATATCCATACTTGCCCACTCTCCCGCTCATCTGACAACACAATCTATCTCAGTCAGACACATACTTCTGAGTTTCTTCTCCCATCAAATCATCAGAGATGACTATCCTTGAGTCTCTATAGAGGACTTGAATAGTCTGTCAGGATGAAAACAGGAGGGAAGAGCTATGAGGCTGATCTTTCTGGACTGAGCTCAGATATGAAATAAAAAAAAAAACAGGTAATTTTTTGTTTTAGAAAAAATTTTACTGTTCATTTTTTTTAAGCCATTTAAAAAAGCCAGCTGGTTGGTTCCCTGTTGGTTTATTTATTTATTTATTTTTTCCGAATCTGGGTATCACTAGAAACTCTGCATTCTTGAATACAACAAAAGTGATGAAAAAGATTAAGAAGATGAAGATAAAACTGTAAGACACAATGGCATCAGGGATATATGGGACATCATTCTGAGAAATGTTTCACTTGAGGATCAGGATCAACTGTAGGCACCATCTTCTGGTGAGACGTGGGAATTCATTCGGCACAGCCCTCACAGAGGGTAACTAGTTACTAAACTTTTTAGATACTAAAAAAAAGAAATAAAAAAAGCCCCACCCACCTGTGCAGGAAAGTTATAATCAAACATGCTGTATGAAACCTCAAACATGAAAGGACCTCATAAATACCAAATTATACTGTAAAATAAAACATTATAAATGTGTAAGAATCATGATAAAAACATTCAGTTTCTGTAAAGTTATCATTAGGATTTTTTTTTTTCAAAATTAAAAACTTCATATATTAATCTTTCACACACCCTTGACCAGAAAATCAGCTCTTGTTGATTTTCAGTGGCTTCTCGTGTATGAAATACTTTGTGCTTTTAATGCTGACTTTAACATGAGATTTGGTCAAGTTGCATTTGAAATGTCACAGCTAAACATTTTCAGTAAACATTTCGGGATGCAAAAGCCACAGGATGCTTTCTAATTTCCACTTCTAAGATCACGAACTCTTTCATTTCCTTTTAGTCTTGTTCACAGTGGTGCTGTTGGGAACCTATAAGAATGATCTGAAAAACTGTGTTTCAAAATAACACTATGTCAAGTTAAAACGGTTTGCTTCAGACAATATTTATTACGTTTAAAACACTGCCACAGTATGTTAGACTAAAACCATATTGCTTCATGTTTTTAACGTGAAAGAGCCACTCGCTACACTGTAATAAGTTTTAGTGACTTTACAAACTTGAATAATTGTTTTAATTACTTTAAAAACTGCAGCTCTGACATAATTCTGCCACCGAACCAAACAGAACGACAGTAAGATTATGTGTGACAAAATTCCCAGTAGTTATTTACCAGAGCAAATATTTACCAATGAATGACTCAATCCATAAGGTATCTTTCCTTATCACATGTCTCTCACATGGTTTAGTTTTTTTAAGGGGGTGGGGGGTGGATAATATGAGATTTAACTGATGTGGATAATCACACAAAATGTCCACTCATCACATCCTCTTGTAGGCACTGAAAATACAGTTTACTTTAAATAGTAGCTGAGGTGCCTTTAAGTGCTTTTCATACATATGCATTATATATATACTGTGTGTGTATGTGTGTGTGTGTGTGTGTGTGTGTGTGTGTGTCACACTACTCACTGTTGTGTGTGTCACTTCCCAAATCCAACATCCAGGATTTGAATGTCACCACAGCAACACTACTCCTTACAGTAAATATAATACATCAAATAATGTCATCAGGTTAAAGCACTGTAAACTGAATCTAATGTTTAGAACAGACTTAAAAGCTATCTGTCCATAGAATAAATAACACAACACAAAATGCTATAACACATAGCACAAACTGTACTTTAAAGGCATTTCTTGGATAAATAATATGTGGAATAATATAATTAACATTTGCATAATGTGACAGAATAGATGTGTATAATGGGAAGCTGAATAGCTGAAAAGACCAGATTAGACCAACAAGTTGCCCCAGCCTTTTTCGTGTTTATTCTGGTGTGGTTTTAGTTAAGCTGGTGGAATTGGGCGACCAGCATGGTCTTTCACGTGATGCTGGTTGATCAAGTAAATGTTGGTTAACCTAGTTGCCTATGATGAAATGACCTGCAGAGGGCAGCAGAGGAGCTCTGATACAAACAGAAATGACTTTAAAGTGTCCATAATATCAGGTTAGCTGTCTTTACAGAAGCCGTTCGATGTGTCAGTGTAATGAAAATGAACAGCATCCGTATGCAGAGTTTATTCAATATCACATGAGCAGAAGCAGCTGTTGTGCTGAATATTGCCGCCCTGTGTCAGTATTATATACATTTTATGCAAAGCATCTATGAACAATATTGAAATAAACAAACAAAAAAAAAAGAAAATTTGCTCTGACAAAGCATCATTGATATCTC